TATGACACAGACAGACCATGCCAAACAAACACACCATGACACACCGACACACACACACACCATGACACACCGACACACACACACACACCATGACACACAGACACACATATCATGACACACACACACCATGACAGAGACAGACACATACCATGACACACACACCATGACAGAGACACACATACCATGACACACACACTCCATGACAGAGACAGACACATACCATGACACACACACACACCATGACAGACACACATACCATGACACACACACACACACCATGACAGACACACATAACATGACACTCACACACCCCATGACAGAGACAGACACATACCATGACACACTGACACAAACACACCCACCATGACACACCGACACACCATGACACAGACACACATATCATGACGCAGACACACATATCATGACACACACACACACCATGACAGAGACACACATACCATGACACACACACACACACCATGACAGACACACATACCATGACACACACACCATGACAGAGACAGACACATACCATGACACACACACACACATGACACACACACATGACACACACCATGACAGACACACATAACATGACACTGACAGAGACAGACACATACCATGACACACTGACACAAACACACCCACCATGACACACCGACACACCATGACACAGACACACATATCATGACGCAGACACACATATCATGACACACACACACACCATGACAGACACACATACCATGACACACACACACACACCATGACAGACACACATACCATGACACACACACCATGACAGAGACAGACACATACCATGACACACACACACACACACACACCATGACAGACACACATACCATGACACACACTGACAGCATAACACATATTACCTGTGGGCCAGGGGGGTCATGCAGGGCAGAGAGCAGGGATGGCAGCCGCTGGAGGAGCTGTTCTGGCGGCCGCTGGAGGAGCAGGGATGGCGGCCGCTGGAAGCTGCGCTGTCTCTGCTCCCCCGCCCTCGCGCGCTACTGAATGAGACGCAGCTTCCAGCAACCGCCAGCAGACCCAGGTGTCTGACTGGCCCCAGGTGCCGACGGCCCACCGGGAAATTTTCTGGTATCCCGGTGGGCCAGTCCGGCCCTGCACCCTCGGCATGCAGACACTGAACTTTCCTCATAGAGATGCATTGATTCAATTTATCTTTATGCGGAGATGCTGATTGGCCAGGGCTATGACTTGTGCTGGCTCTGCCCCTGATCTGCCTAGTTGACAGTCTCAGCCAATCCTATTGTAATTTGCTCAGACCACCACTTCTGATGATGTCAGCAGACAGTCAGTTCAGAGGCAGAGCCAGCAGCTGCAGACTTGAATACAAGTTATATTTTACTATACTTTGGGAGGCAAGAAGGGGCCAGGGTGGTGGTTTTAACATAATAGGGTCAGAAATACATGATTGTGTTCCTGACCTTATAGTGCTACTTTAAGCAAAAGTATGTGAAGAGTAGTTAGGGTTGCCACCTTTCTTGGAAAAAAATACCAGCCTTAATCATTTGTATAATCACAACGAGTGACATTAGAGAAGATTCTGTAAAATCACCAACAAACTACTCACAGTTTGATTCTGCTGTATAGATGGATTGCGCCCAGTGTCTCAGTGTCGCAAGTCACCCAGTGTCTCAGTGTCCCTATGTATCTCAGTGTCCCCATGTCGCCCAGTCCCCTAGTCTCCCAGTAACTCAGTGTTCACATTTCTCCCAGTGTCTCAGTGTGTCCCTATGTCACTAGGATACTGGGGACACTGAGAGACATGGGGACACTGAGACCCGGGGACACAAAGAGACCCGGGACACAGAGAGACATGGGGACACAGAGACATTTAGGGAAACTGGGAGAAATGGGGACACAGACACTAGGAACACAGACACTGGGAGACATTTGGACATTGAAACATTTGGGGACAGTAAGACACTAGGGACATAGAGACATGGGAACACAGACACTGGGAGACTAGGGGACACTGGCTGGGAGACAGAAGCTTGGGGACACTGGGAGACATGGGGACAGTTGTGGACATAAACATGGGGACACTGGGACATATAGGGACACTGGGAGACATAGGGACACTAGGCACACTGAGACACTAGGGACACAGACACTGGAAGACATGGGGACACTGAAACATTTGGGGACACTAAGACACTAGGGACACAGAGACATGGGAACACAGACACTGGGAGACTAGGGGACACTGGCTGGGAGACAGACACTTGGGGACACTGGGAGACATGGGGACAGTTGTGGACATAGACATGGGGACACTGGAACATATAGGGACATTGGGACACATGGGGACACTAGGCACACTGAGAGACATGGGACACAGACACTGGGAGACTTGGGGACACTGAGA